GAGGATGAGGGGGAGGATGAGGGAGGCGGAGGAGTAGGATGAGAGGGGGAGGAGGAGAGGAGGAGGAGGCAGGAGGAGGAGGAGGAGGCGGAGGGGAGGAGGCGGAGGAGGAAGGAGGAGGAAGGAGTCGGAGGAGAGGAGGAGGAGGAGGAGGAGTCATGAAGAGAGTAGGAGGAGGAGGAAGGAAGGGGGGAGGCGGAGACGTATGAGGAGGAGGAGGAGGAGGAGGAGCAGGAGGGTGAGCAGGAGGAGGAGGAGGCGGAGGAGGAGGAGTTGGCGGAGGAGGCGGAGGAGGAGGAGGAGGAGGAGGAGGAGTATCAACCTTTTGTGGACCAGCATTCGCAATTGTGGGCTCGATTGGTGCGTTTGTGCATTGGGGGCCCAGGTGGCTACGGCCAAGTCGCAGTCTGCAGTTGAGGCGCTTAGGGCGCTTTGGTCTAGCTCGCTCTGTCCCAAGACCCGATGGCTTGACCATGCCACGATGTCCTACACGGTGTGCAGAGGCTGCTCGAATTCTGATGAGTATGTGGGCCATTGTTGTTGCGAGTGCCCTGTGGTGATCAGTAGTACTGAGGAGGACGAACAGGATCACCCGATGCCTGATGAAACGGTTATGTTTCGTGAACTGGTGATGAGGTGCGGCATGATCATCCAAACCGCGATGGCGCTGGAGTCGTTTGTGTTTTCCGTCGGGATACCGCAACTTCCTGCCATAACTGATCCTCCAGGCGATCAGCTTCCTTTTGTGTTTCTTGAGGAATTGGGGCGCGATGGAGTGCAACGGCATGCGGGGGCTGTTCTCCGATGGGTCTGCGAAGCCGTCTTCCTTTCCAGAGCTACGCCAGTGTGGTTGGGCTGTGGTAGAGACGCTGCTGTTTGGCTACCCACTACGTGCTGCGTATGGCGGCTTGCCATGTCGTCAACAAACTGCTGGCAAGGCCCAGAGGTCTGCGACCTTGCAGCCAGTCCGACACTCCAACCATGTGGGCACCAACATCTCGGACTTGCTGGTCAAAGAAGGATGCAGATGGTGGTGGTGGTGGTGGTGGTGGAGGGTGGAGGAGGAGGAGGAGGAGGAGGAGGAGGGAGGAGGATGGGGGAGAGTGAGAGGAGGAGGGGGAGGGGGAAAAGGAGGAGGACGAGAAGGAGGGGGAGGAAGAGGAGGAGGAGGATCAGGAGGAGGAAGAATAATAGCACTAATAATTATATTAAGCATAATAATAATCATAATAATGCGATTACTAATCATATTATTACTGCGGGCAAAAATATGAATCATAATACTCATACGCAGGTGACCGATCATAATAATAATACTACTAATAATAGTAATACGAATACTAATAATAATACTAATAATAATAATACTACTAATAATAATAAAACTAATATTAATAACCATAATACTTTAAGGGTAGGAAGAAGAAGAGGAGGAGGAGGAGGAGGAGGAGGAGGAGGAGGTGGAGGACGTGGGGGAGGAGGAAGAGGAGGACGAGGAGGAGGGGGAGGAGGAGGAGCAGGAGGAGGAGGAGGAGGAGGTGGAGGAAGACCGTAGCCATTTTGGCTCAAGTGGTTCGGCTCAGACTTGGCCTTTGGCGTGGGGGAGGCGCGCCCCTGCCAACGAACCCACGGCCAATCTGGCCCAGGGTTTCTTCCAGTGAGCTCCTGCAGGAGCACTCCGCATTTTCTCTCTCCACCATATGCCTTCCTATGGGAAAGGCAAAGGCAAATCGGGATGGATACGGAATGGCTCTCAGCCTACTGTTACTTGTGGCATGTGTGGTTGTTCCAAGAATCCGTCGCACTACACATGGTGCTACCATTGCAAGGCCTGGCTCCCCAAAATCGGCTTCGGGACACCCCCTCCTGTCTGCGGCAGCTGGGCGAAGGGCGACACAAAGGGAGTCAATGACAAGGGTGGTGGAAAAGGCAAAGGCATCCAGCTCCTCAACCAGCTGGTTCAGGGAGCAGGCTCAAAGTACAAGGACGTTCTCCCAGAGAGTGCTAAAGAAGTTCTATCAAGTGTGCTGGACAACGCCAGGGCCACTCGCGAAGCCCAGGTCCCTGCCAGCAAGACCCTCATGTCCACGGAAGCTGAGATCAAAAAGAGGGAGTCCAAGATTCGCAAGTACGAGATGCGGCAGGACAAGGTCCTGGAACAGATCGGGGCTCTTGAACTGGAAGGCTGACAAAGAGGTTGAAGCTAACAATATTGCTCGACAGCATGCAGCATCTAAGCTTCAATCACATCAAGGCCTGCCTACACCAGATTCGCTTGGAGTTAATGTGCAGGCTTGGGCAGAAGTTACCGGCCAGCTCGACAATGAGACGCGGCAGCACCTCGGCCAGCTCTACCAGACCGCGCTGGTCGGCATCAGCCCGTGCTCCGCCGACGTCTACACGGCAGCTACCAACATGGCCTCCACGCTCCTGGCTCCCACGGGCCGCACCGAGGAGCGGATGGGGTCAGCCAAACGGGGAGGACGAAGGAGGAGGAGGAGGAGGAGAGAGGATGTCGCGATGACAACTACGAGAGAGCGGCAGACCTTTCCCCGACACCTCCCATGGTCAATCCCCTGAGTTCGTGCTATCAGACGGTGAAGATATGGAAGAAGACCCAGGGGATTTGGAAGCTGGGCCTACACGGGGCCCTGGCACAGGAAGGACTCCTGGATGGGCCCCATGGGGCCAGGGTATCTCGGGCCATCGCGAGACACCTTAAGAAGAAGACTCAGCCCCGCAGGCCACCGCCAGGCCCATCGGCTGAGAGAGGTGAGATGGACACACCGCCGCCGCGTGTTTAACAGGGCTCGGTTGAGAGTTTCAACCTTCAACGGTTCCTGTTGGTCGACCTGCAAGGAACTCCTTCAGGACTCAAAATGTGAAGTGGTTCTTCTCCAGGAACACAAGCTTCTGACAGAAGGTCTCAGTTCAATGTAGGCTACCATTCTACGAATGGGATGGCATCCGTGCGCTGCGCCAGCTGTTGTCAATTCTAATGGCTCCGCCACAGGTGGAACAATGGCGTGCGTAAGGAAACATTTGGACTCTTGGGGCTTTGGCAAGAGCAATATTTTCCTGGACGTTTATCTGGTTGCTTCCTGCGTACTTCGAAGCTTGGGGCCATTCAGGTCTTCTCTGTTTACCTCCAGGATCAGGTGCACATGAATGGTTTAAGCCGTCGGGTTCTCATTAAGGTGTGGTCTCGGGTCGCTCAAGCTGGCACGCCGTTTCTCCTGGGAGGCGATGTCAACATGCCCGCCGATTTGGTTTCAACATGCCAGCCGCTCGACAAATGTTGTGCCGTTATGCGGGCGCCTGCTGCACCCGCGCTCCTCCAGGGCGGCAGCAGTCCCACGATCGATTATGTTGTGCTCAGTTGCGCATTGGACGCGCGTGACCCGACGTTGCATGTAGACGCTTTGTGGCACAAGCGCCCCCACCTACCTGTTGAATTGAGCGTAGACAAATGTATAGATGATGTGCATGTGCGTGCCATGACGCCGCACATCAAGCTCCCACCCGACCCTGCTGTTGGACCTGTGTGTAAGCCCCCCCTCACACACACCACTCGTCAACAAGCTGGAGCACGCCATACATGCACGCGCGCATGCGTCTGGCAACACTTACATGGCCAGCGAACATGAACAAGCAGACTTTCAGTCTATCCTAGATGATGTATATTTGGACTGGTCCACGCACGCATGGAACGAGCTGGTAAGTATCACACAGTCAGATCCACATGCTAAAGGCCGCAGAGGAGGTTCACCGCCTGAGTTTCAAGATGTCCCTCTGCGCAAGGTGTTGGCCACCAAGGCCTACACCAAAGTATGTCATGACCGCGCTTTGCTCTGGGCGTTTAATAGATTGCAGGAGATAGAGGCGCTGTTGGTCAAGAATGGGCCGTACAATCTTGACTCTTACCTCACCTCTCTCCTCCGTCAGTTGTGGGAACTACCAGAGAAAGGGGGGCCGTTTCGACGATATTGGAAACAGGGCGTCGGTTTCTGGCATCCTTTCTTATCCGACCTTGCACGTGCCATGTGGATGAAGAGTTCTAATGCCATGCGAGTCTCACTGCTGGCGCCAGTTATCAAGTTGGTGCAGGCCTGCTCCCAACTGGGTCAGGTTCAGGAGCGCCGCAAGCAGAGGAAGGAATGTGAGGAATGGTGTTCTTTTGCAGGGTCTGGTCGCGCCCAGGAAGCTTTCTCCTTCCTTCGAGGCTCTGAATACCGCCCTGAAGATGTTGTAGGAGTGGGGTCATGCATGTCGTTATCACTTCCGAGGAGGATGGAGGCGGAGGTGAAACATTGGTCTAATGCCTGGGATGCGAAGCCCGACAAAGCCCCCCCCCCCCCCCCCCCCGAGTCGTGCTTCGATGTGTCCCATCCCTGTTCCTCCTCCTCCTGGCCCTGAAGTTATTAGATCTATTTCGAGACGATCCAGGGTGCGTACATGTACTCCAGACGGCATGCGTCCCAGGCATTATTCGATGTTGTCAACTGGTGCGCTGGAGGCACGGCCCCCACATCCATCCAGATGATAATCTTGCTGCTTATGCCTAAGCCCCAAGGGGGGAGAAGACCCTTGGGCCACTACCCTGCTATGCCACGTCTGCATGCTAAACTATACAGGGGCGCATGCAGATCCTGGGAACGAGAATTTGGGCTGGGTGCTGCTTTCTCTATGTCTCAGGGACGGGGGCCGCAGGACATCGTTTGGCGTAACGCTGTAAGAGCAGAATGGCATAGCGACCAAGGTATTTCGTACCTATGTGTTCTATGGGATCTAGTACAATTCTACGGAAAGATCTGTCACTGCAAATTACTAGAACAAGTTGATAGTGTGGGTTTCCCTATGTATGTCACCCTCTACACCATAGGCACATACCGATGGACACGAGTTATATTAATGGGCGGTGCGTTTGGCCCATCTCTTTGCCCTCGCAGCGGGATCATCGCTGGATCGACATCGGCAACGTTTGAAGCAAAGGCGTATCTGTTACCAACCTATCAAGAGCTGGACCTTCGACCCTGATCGCTCGTGCCTCGGAGTTCACATCGATGACCTCCAGTTGCACTCATGGGCCAGCTCCATGAAGCCATGCATCTCTACCATGCAGGCTATGGCGGTGTCTCTAGCCAAAGTTCTTCAACAATATCTGGGATGCTCTCTCTCCGAAAAGAAGATGACCATCACCGCCAATTCCAGGGAGCTCGCGGAACATGCTAAAGCTGTAATCAGCCCCTAGGAGGCTCTTTAGAGGATGCCCCGCCAAACCTTGGGATCGACTACATTGCTGGAAAGCCGAAGACCCATGTCCGTCGTCTGAGCAAGAGGGCTGCTAGGTGGCGTAAGTTTAAGTATAGAATGAGTAGGCTCAACAAGTTTAGAGGCTCACGTAGGCTTAATTAAGACCAGGCTCTACAAGGCTAGTGTACAGTCTGTCATCTCCTACGGGGCCCAAGTGCAAGGCTTCTCACCTAGGGAGGTTCTATATTTAAGAAAATCGGCGGCTGCGGCTATGGGGGTGAAACTCCCGGGGGTTCCCTTGGATTTGTCCTGGGCCCTTTCGTCTCGATCCCAGGAAGACCCATATATATAGCTGCAGCCACGATTGAACGGCATGCATCAGAATGGTGGCACAACACCCAGACTCGACCCGAAGCTGGTGTGAAACACAAAGATGCTTCTGAGCACGCTCTCCTCTGCGTTTCGTGCTGCCCAAGAGTCGGCGTTGAACTCTTCTGGTAAATCTTGGGCTGCTCGAGACAAAGGGCCGCTGAGTGATGCAATATTGTGGGTTCTCGAGGTAGGCTGGGCTATTGACAGCCCCTCCACTTTTACAACCTGCCAAGGTGATAAGCTGGTCCTTACCGAATGCCCCCCGCCGGTGGTCACTCAGACATTTGTCAAGGACCTAACCAGCCAGAAGATTGCCGCAGTATGTAGGAAGAGGCTTGCGCCTATGTCTCACCCCATTGCTCGGCAGATAGAAGCTGAAGGATTCTGGCTTTTCGCAGGTAGAAAGATCCCCCATGGGAAGTCTTTGCCCGACGAACACAGGCATCTTTTTAAACAGGTTCTTGCAGGGGCCCTCCCCACTTGTGAAAGGCTCCACAGGTGGGGCTTTGAGGTGTCGCCTCTCTGTTTGTTCTGTCAAGTGCTAGACACATCCTTTCATCGTATATGGGAATGTGTCCATGGGGCCACGGAGCGTCAGGAAGTTTTTAGCCCAGAGTTGATCCAGGATGCCCTGGAAGCTGGCCCCGACCACCCACTCTTTGCCCACTTCCTCCAACCTGCCCCCTCCATTCCAGAGGTGGCCCAAGACTGGGATTTAAGATTCGTGGACTCTCGATCTGACCCAGCCGACCCATTTCATTTTCCCCCAGAGTTTTTTTTCTCAACAGATGGGGGATGCGATAATCCTTCCAATTCAGAGCTAGCTCGGGCAGGGGTGGCGGCTGTAGATGTCGACATTGAAGGGGGATCTCCTGCGTGCGATTTACTCCCCTCTTCCTCGAGATTTCCCCCGAGCGCCTGGAGATGCCGAGCGTGCAGCAGTGTCTTTAGCGATGCTCCGATCCCTCGACCCTGCAAGTAACACGTATCACTACGATTGTTCTGCCCTGGGCCAATTTGTCACTTGGACAGAGAGAGCTCTTGCGGGCAGGACTCCACAAGCCAGATATTGGAGGCCAGCCGCGCGGTCGCTAGGATCATCACCCATCCCAGCCATGTGCAAAGTGAGGGCCCACCTACCAGAGGGAGAGGCCCGAGATGAGATCGCCTTATTCCATATCAAAGGCAACTCACTCGCAGATCACTTTGCAGGATTGGGCAAGAGAGCGCATGGGCTTCCACAGAATACAGTCGACATTTACACTCCGGCTCTAGCAGAGTATGAGAATTTATTTACAGGAGCCTGTGCTGTTTTACATGTTTGGCCGAAACCCAAGGAGATGTTCTGGCAGTTGGTTCGGCCAAAGAAGGCCCGCCGCCCTAGGTCCCTGGGGAAACCTCACCATCCAGTCTGGGATGGCAAAGCATTCCGCTGCCGTTATTGTCTTCGTCGATGCTCCAAGCAGAGTACTTTTGCATGTGAAGCCCTGGCCCCTACCCTAGCAGAGCTGCTGCGTACGGGTGGAGGGAAAGGGCACCAGCTCCACGCAGCTCGAATCCAAGGGAGTGAGTTACCTGCCATTTTCTGCGTTCTCTGTGGCAGATTCGCCACACAGAGAACAAGAGGCCTACTGGAGACCTGCCCCCGCCCAAAGAAGTCAGGGGAAAGGAATAAGCTCCTCAGAGGCCTTTTGCCTGGCACCTCCCTGCTGTTGGACCCTGCGTTCCCCCTTGCGTTTCTCTGGTCCCCTCTTTCCCCTCCCGCTTCCCCAGGGCCACAACTGCAGGAGAGCGACCACCAGCCTCCG